GGCCCCGCATGCGGTCGCTATTAGCCTCTCAATGGCAGGCATTAGATCTTATCGCCTTAGCGGCTTATTATTATTATAACGATTCATGATATCGGTGGGTTAGGCATTAACCCAGCGCACGACATAGTCTATGACCCGTATTATGATCTCGCCTTCGTCCTTCTTTATCCTCAGGAGCGACTATATATCGGGAAAGGGAAGAGCAGGATAATATTAAAGGATATAGCGGAAAAGGTCGTAATAGCTTTTCTTATTAAGCGAGCCGAAGAAGCCGGCCTAGCGAGAGGTTAGGGCAGCTAAATTATCGCTGTCGCTACTATCTCTTAGGTAGAAAAGCTAGCGAATGTCTGTGGCGGTATATATGTTATTTCTGAGACCGGTGACTAACTTAGCCTAGTCTAAGACTTGAATAGATTCGGCGGCAGGGGTTAGTAAGGTCTTGAGGGTTTCGAGCACCTAATAGAATATATCGAACTAATACTGCTCGTATAGAACGATAGGGTCGCTCGCGTTAGCCTCATAAAGCTCGACCTAATAAGGTCTACTATAATGATGATGATAATGAATTAATTGCACCTCTATAAGTATAAAGAGTTACTTATATTATCGATTCTATAACTAGCCATATGATCCCATATGGAGATATTAAAGGTTGCCCTCCCTATCTAAGTTCTATACTAGCGGGTAATTATAGGCCTCTATCGCTTATTCCTCTATAGAGTGATAAGTCGGCTAATAGGAAAGCGGGTTTCACTACGTAGATAGAGAATATCTAGTATTCTTTTCTTAAGAGCTTATTTATTTTTATTTTTCTAAGGGGAGAAAAGGGTAAGATCTCGGTCGGAGGCGGAGGCGAGCTATAACTAGATCTAGCTATAACTATCGGGCAAGGTAAGGTCGCGACGATTAACGCGGAGCTTAATATCTAACTCGACCGGGAGAATATCTAGGGTTAGGCTAGTCAGCGTCTAATAATAATAGCGATAGTAAAGACGCACCCTTATTATAAAACTCGCAGATCTACTATAGATCGTCTAAACCTAAACTAGTTTACTTTATATAGTCCCGCAATGCTTTAATGCGATATTAGCTAGCTATAAGTTCGGGCTTCTCATTATTAATATCGGCCTAGTGCTTAAATAATAGTACGGGATATTTAGTTAGATTATGATGATGATGGGGGTGATGATTTATTCTAGTAATAGTACTGATGATACTATCGACGGCGGCGGCACTATAGGTGACCTAGATGTAGTTCTCCTTAGCTCGACGGGCGAGATTGCCTTAGCGAAAGGACCAATAAAGGTGGGCGATATGATTGCGGTCGAGGGGTCTATTATTACCGCGAGACCATGAAGAGGTAAGGAGGTTAATAGGAAACTAGGCAGTGGCAAGGCGGTATGGTTTTGCCTACCTTCTCACTGAGTCGACTTCTATAAATAATGGCGGAGAAGGCTTCGGTGGTTTAGCAGAGTCGGAGGATAGTTATTATTAGTGGCTAGCGGGTGAGCTAAGCGGGGGGTTAGATGCGGGTATAGTAATAGGGAAATGATTAGTAGTAATATCAAACGGGGCGAAGCTAAAGTCTAAAGTTATTAGAGAGGCCGGAGAGCCAGAATTAATTTCTCTCTAATCCTCTATTACTTATTCTATATTAACTTAATAAAAAGGGATAGGCGAAGTTAGATCGTTCTATAGAGGGCATAAGATACCTTAGTCTAAATACTAATTTTCTAAAATAATCTAGTTCGATAAAGGACTATTATCCTGGGGCTAGGCAGTCTACGGTATTATTAATAAGTATTAGCGAGCATAATAGGCTTGAATGCGAAGTCGCGTGAGTTTATGTTCCGATAAGGCTGGGTTTTACCTCTTTATCCGTGTCTAAAGGACCCGAGATTGCGGCAGCTATAGCCTCGAATGATCCTTATATTAATAGCTCTACCGCGCTTATTAAATCAGCGTCGGGATAAAATATATTGCTTATTTATCTTATATCTATTAGAGAATGCATTACTAGAGCGGCCGAAAACATAGCTATGGGAGGAACTTATAGAGAAGTATTATAACTAATAGAGGAATCTCGAAAAGTAGAGGTTTCCGGCGGGAGGTATTAAATCCTGGCTAACGAGGTGGCAGGATGGCCCCGACGGGAATGCTTATATAGATAATCTAACAGGATGTGGGACTATAAGTCTAATAATAGGGAGAACTTAAATTTATAAGCCCTACTAACTATTAGTAATATCGGCCTCTCCGTAATAGACCTAGCTCACTAGCCGGATAGTTTTATAGCTATTAGCTTCTAGGAGTTACTAGGCCCGGCTCTGCTGATATAACTATTGGCGCTGTTTTCTATTATGGTTTTATTCTCGCTATTTCTTAGATTTAGATAAAACGGATAGAGGCGCTATAATCCCTTAGCGAGTTCGATCTTTAGATAGGGTAGAATAAAATCGCATACTCATAGATTTGCGGGTTTATTAGACCCTCTGTTTCTGAGGGTGTTTTAGTATTATTTATATTCTTATTTGATGCGTCCCGACGGCTATATTCTTTAAGACCTAGTAAAGGGGCGAGCTTAATTTCGAGTCTCAATATATGATTAGATGGGCTAATAGGGCTACGAAACGATGACTAGTTTTAGGGGGCGCCTGCTAAGAGTTTGCGTGCTAACGATAAAAAAGCAAACATAAGGTTAACTCGGCACTTACTTTCCCAGTGTGGCTAACAAACCGACCGACCTAGACCGGCCCCTTCGGTCTGTCGGTTTGGGTTGGTCAAGGCTCCCGGTCGGTCGGTCTTGGTCTGTCTAGGTGCGCTGCCAGTCGGTCTAGGTCGGTCTAATAGTCCCATACCGAGGTTCAACCGGTGCAATTGAAATGATTCCCTAAATGGTTACTAGATACAATGAAACCCTTTCTGCTATTCTACGGAGGCACTACTAACGAACTTAGACTACCAGCCCTCTCATTAGCCACTGTTTTTAAAGCTAATCGGCCTCGACTACCTCAGGTGCTAGCCGGTTGCGCTTATCCGTGATTATTTTCTTAGTCTAGCTAAACACCCTTTCGCATTCAGAACTTATGCCAGGAATCGAGAATAGATCTAGCGCCATTCGATATAAAACTAGATATTCTAATTGATATAGATTCCACCATTCAAGAGGGTCTACAATATCGAGATCATAGGCGTAAATTAGCCGTGTCTAAAATATATTAAGCTCGCTAACTGCCTTGACCTTCTTTCGCTGCGTATTCAAGGAGCGGATTAATCTTTTCCCAAATAAACTATAGTCATTAACGTTAGCTTTAATCTCATTAACTTCGCCTTCTAAAAGCCCTACTTAAGCTTAAGCTTTAACTTTAGCCTATCGGGCGTATTCGCCGAATAGGCTACCCACGGCGGACTACATATCATTATACTATTGCGGTCTATCTATCGCGGTTTTCTAGTGCCGCTCAAAGTAGTCATACCCATATGATAGGTAAAGGGCTAGCGCTGCTCAGTAGATAGGTATACGGTCCGATTTAATGTAATAGTCTTTAAGCTTCGCCTATCCGTAGTCGATTCCCGACTTAAAATAGGAGGGCTCCTCGAATTAAGTTTCCTCCGCGGCCTGCTTGAATTTGACAAACAGGTAGTCTATTGTCTTAAGGGTCTCCCACACTACACTATGCCCGCCCTCTATGCCCGGTTTACTGGCGTTGCCCTCTATAGTCTTCGTAAGGATATAAAATAGCTTTAGGAAGTCGTAGAAGCGCTCTAGTTTAGCCTAGTCCGCAGCGTTAAGGAAATCCTTCGTTAAGTCACGGTGGACCAGATCATTTTTCGGTTTTTGCCAACGGGATTAATAGAGCTTAATAGCGCTGCGCAGCTCGAGTGCTAGGATAAGTCAATCTAGAGTCAGCAAATATCTAACACAGGTGACAAGGGCAGAATATCATATAACATTTGATCATACTATAAATTAAATTCTAGCGTATCTTGCCATCAACAACGATCTCTAATATAAATATGGCATTATCCCCTGCGAGCTCGGTCTAGAAACGCCGAAGCGCCTATCGTCTCTGGTCTATCCGGCGGATATAGGTGGCGAGGTTGTGGAGTCTACCGATGGCCCCTTTCTTAGCCTAAATGTCAAAACTAAATTTATCCGTAGCCCCACGAAGCTCCGTCTCGAATTTACTAACGTTTGAGCCGAAGATAACGGCCCGGACAACTAGGTTGATAATATGGCCGATGCAACGTAAGCGGCGTCGGCCAACGTCCATTAGGAACCATCTCGCGAGCGCCTCCAGGTAGGTATCGTTGCTCTTAGCGTTATTAAGCATAAAGTAGCCAAGCTTAGAGCCCATTTCGTATTAGTCGATTACCCCCTTCACATAAGGGGCAATATTCTCACCGGAGTGTGGACCGACTAGGCGCGGTAGCCTAAGAAGGATATCACGCTTTTCGCCGTTATTATTAACGAAGTAGCCGATGATTCCGACGTAGTTGCACCCGTTAGAAATAGTCTATAGGTCGAAGCTTAGGTAAACTAAGCTCGTCGCGTTCTTAACGAGATTAGCAATAATTTGCCGTCGGGATTCAAAGGTTTGGCGGATCCATAAACAAACTATGGTGTAATGTTCCGGAAGTAGCTGACTTGCAAGCTCCCCACCATTCGCTATCAGCCACCGAAGGCGCTCGCTAGATGCCTATCGGAAGGTAACATCTTCGACTATAATCCAGTCCACGAAGCGAGCTTTCCATATTCCTTCGTCAAAATATAAAGCAAGCTACAAGCCGAGGCTGGCCTGCCGCGATAAAAGACGGGATAATAAGGAGCCAGACGTCGCCGCTAACGTAAACGGAGTCGCCAAGCTAGGATCACTCTCCCTTGCCTCCGTGATTTAGTGCTGACGGAACAGGTGCCTCGCGGCATGAGACGTCCCCGATAAGACGTATAGAGCTATCGAATAGCTCTTCTTCACATGACAGATCCTGCAAAGCCAGTAATGTACCCCGTGATGCTCCAAATTGGCGCTATGTCGGTATATCCACGACTCTTTGATCTTGGTGCCGATGACCTGCCTGTGACGGGGCCTCTTTTTGGCGCCTATAAGTCGTTTGCCACCGTGCTAGATATTCTCCCAATCGATTTTAAATTCGCATGGTAATGCATCTGTCTCGTCAGTTGTAGCCTCGCGTGAGGCGGGCGTGCCTTTAAAACCGTCATTAGCCGGGATGGGAGGTGGGCGAGATGGAAGAGACTGCGGTATTAACGATATATGGCTCGCAGTTCTACTAGAAGATATGATAATGCAGCACGAATTGACAATGGCTCAGACAGATCGGCACGATACGAAAATTCACTGAGGCAAACGCGTCGTGTCACGCAGACGCGTCGTGTCATGCAACTTAAAGTGAAGGTAAGCTGGAGCTGACTAATGGCAGCCCTAGAAACCACCCCAACCCAGACCAACCTAGACCACCCAATCCGACCGGCAGCTCTGGTCTGTCGGTCTGATGAGATTTGCCGGTCGGTCGGTCTGCGGTTTGAAGATGGTCTGTCAGACGGTCTGTCAGACGGTCGGTCTGTTAGCCACACTGTACTTTCCTTTAGGGCTACCATATATAGTAATCTAGGGTAAGAGCATATTACGCAAAACGAAAACTTGCCTGTTTTAGGACGTCGCTATGGAGCCGACTAGGATACCGTCCGGTCCAAACCAGGATACCGTCTAGTCTAAGCCTTATTCTTATTAGTCGAAGTATGACGATAGCTTAATAGGGTTATAACGATATTTTATGAACAGTCTTTCTGAGTTTAGATAATGCTTTCGGCTTGAAATAGATAGATACGAATGCCTTCTATTGCCTATTTTATAGTTATAAGTAAGAAAAAATAATCTTCGCAATTATAATAGAATCTTATTACTCCTAGTTATATTTAGTCTAGCTAGCTGTTTTAGGACATCACTATAGAGCTAGCAGGGTTACTATCCGCTCTAAGCCTTACTCTTATTAGTTTAAGTCATAGATAAACGACCAGGGTATAATAATAATTAATAGGGCTACTTTCGTCTTAATAACGGGATAGATACCTTCTATTTGCGAGTTTCTTTATTAAGAGTAAGGGGAAAATAGTCTTAATATCGATTAATTAATTATGCTTTTCTCTATCTTTTTACTTAGTTATTTCTATATGTATTAGTATATTTAAATTTTAATAAAATAAAATATCCCTGTCGACTGCCTACGTGAATTCTACCGTCCCCGCGGACTTAAGCCTAGCGGGAGCCCGATTCGCATATCTAAATATATACTTCGCATATACTATGTTATATATATCGCGATAATCTTTAGGCAATGTTTAACCTATATATTATCTTAGGTATTAAATATAAGGCTAATAAATATAGGTGGATTATTTATTAATAATAATAACTCTATTCGCAACTCGAGGAGCTCCTTATCTAAACGGAGATCTAGCTTAAAATTCTATGGGTTTTCCTAATATTTATACGCTAGATTATAGACTACCTAGCCAAGTTTATAGAGGATGCGATTATTAATTCCTCTATATTCTAAAAGATTCGTTAACGTAGAGTCATCGGATCGGTCTTATATATAACCTTACCTATTTTTTTTATTATTTCGGGGATCCTAAGAACTATACTATTATCTCGATCCTAAGGGAAGCACTGCGGGTAAAGGAACCAAAGCATTCGAGTTATAAGTATCACAGCTAAAAGCTATCTATTCCTCTGAGGGCCAGGCTCAAAGTTGTTCTTGTTTTGCGGTAATATAGGTATGTCTATAGACGACGTAAATGTTAGTACTATTATTAGTAAGAGATCACATAAAGGATCCTCGAGAGCCTGCTCGAGGTAGTCGCGAGTATATTCGTAATGCGCTAAGATTTTCTGATTACCGGAAGCATATAGTTATCGCGTAAAGTCGAGTCCTTCTTTGATAATTCGCGGGATTTCGGTAAAGGGAATAGAATATCTAAAGTCGATTAAGGAAGTCCATAGCCTCGTTTTAGTAGCATTAGTCTTAGTCTTAGTCCCGGCCTTAGTCTCAGCCTCGGCCGCATTTTCTGGCAGTAAACTAACGGGAAAGCCTAATATATAGACATTTCCGCTAAGTAATTAACGATCCTCCCTACAAAGCTCTATATTATCCTCCTATTTCCTCTACTAATATAACCCGGAGATAAATAGATAAATAGCATTAAGTTAGCCTAGGCTTTTCGGCAACCTAGTGAATAAGCTATGTATATTATAGTATAGAATTATCCAAAAATGAGGCAATATGTATCTTCCTAGAGATCCTTTCTAGCTTTCCGCGTTAGCGGCGCTAAGGTATATCTCGATAGACGCATAAAACCTTCGAGCTAGCTATCGATAATAGCAGTGATCCTAGAGTATGCGGGCGATCCTATCGTCCTAGTCGAAAAGCCCCTATACCCTATTATAGTAGGCTCTTCCTAATTTATATAGTCCTTTCCGTATATAAGACAAATAAGGTAGCTCGCTAGCTAAGGTATAGATGATTTCATAGCTTAGTCCTCGGTAACCTTCCTAGGCCGATTTATGCTCGCTCTTAAAGCCTAAGTCGAGAGTAATATTAGTGCCATAGGTTTATTAAATAACTTAGAGCGCAAATTGCTAATAAATTATCTTCCGCATACGGTCTAAGATATCGGGATAAGCACTCAGCTCGCTAGTCCGCAGGTGATCCTCTAATTCTCCGGCTTTATAATACTCCCGGCTTATAGATTCCACGTCTTTCTAATTACGAAATACTCCCTAGAGTCTATTAAAAGTAAATATAGTTAATGCCACGAGGTCGTTATAGAGATAAAGATCAGACTAATTGAAAAGATTAAGAGGTAACTAAGCGAGGCCTATCTAACGCATACTGCTCTCGAAATCTAGACCATGGAGAGGCTTTCCCTATCGGTTCTTATATATGCCTTTGAATATCTATAAGCGCTTTGCAATATAATAATAATTAACGCTAGCTTTTAAAGAACGAAGAAGGATAATAACTATAATTATATTTCTTTAATAATCTTCCTAATTAGCATCGCGCCGGCTTCTTCGAGCCCGGATAAATTCGATAGTAGAGAGCTAGCGATTAAACTCCCATCGCATAAATTCATTCATATAAGCAGTTAGCAACACCTAGAATAGGCGATATAGACCGCGAGGGTATAATATAGAAGGATCTATAGCTATAAATAGTTCCTAAGAGATTCGATATTTTTCTCGAATGCCGAAGCTCGTCTCTATAGAATTATCTAATATGAATCCTATTCGAGACTTTATAGCTTAAAATACTTTACGAAGCTATTTAAGTTTCGGTATAGATTAGAGCGAGGTCGCTAGCCCGGCGTTGTGATACTACCGAGCAGCCACGATCCAAGCGTCGAGTAATAAAGATAGATATATCAGCCCTTCTAGGTTCGGTTCACCGAATAGCCTATAGTCCCGCTTCGAGGCTATCGAAAAGAGATCCTTATTCATATTATAACGTTGAGCATAAGTAATACCTCCCTTGCGCAGGGGGTATAATCGGCGAGCCTCTACCCTAGCGCTACCTGCTTAGCCGATAAGATTCTAGTTAAAATATTCCGATAATATTAGTGGTTTATCAGCGCTATACCTCATCGAATAGACCCAGGACGCTAAATATCGGCTTTTATACAAAAATATATACTTTTCTAAAGCTATAATATCTTTGAGGCTAATATCTACCTATATATTAGATAAATCGGCTCTTAATTAATCTAATACTTAATAAAGATAAGTTATAATCTTAGTATAGTATTCTTAAAATATTAGATATTTTGCTTTTAGCTTAATATTCTTTGCGCTAAGTATAATAAATATTCCGCGGAATATAGCGAGTTTAGGTTACTTAGTATTCTAAGTTATATAGTACTAAATCGCCTATAGGTATTCTTAAGGAAGGTAATAATATATATCTATTCTATTAGGAACTATCCCCTCGTAGGTTTCCCGTTAGTAACTATAGGCTTTGCTCTTTATATTATTAAAGGAATAGGGATAATATTAGATTATATTAGGTAGATAATAGCGATAAATCGCGGGTAAAATAAATTAATTAATTTATATTTGCTATTTATCTTTAATAAGATAAGTAATTATTTAATAAATATAGGAGATTCTAGGGAAGAAAATATATATACTAAATTAAGGAGATTAGCGTCTATTGCCTAGTCGAAGGTAAGGGATAAGATATAAAGCTATTTCTTAGTGGAAGATATAAATATTACTTTTAAAATTCCTTAAAGTTAGCGGATAATATAAGATATAAAGCCTATAATTAATTAATAAATATAAAGCCTAGGAGATAATATTATTTATATCCTAAGTATATTAAATATTAGGAGCGATATTTTAGGACCTCTAGATATCTAAGTTTAGGCGGCTATCCCTATTACTTAGTATCGAGGATTAATCTAGCTAAACTTGTTCGTTTTCGTTTATTTAAGCCTAAGGTGATATAGTATTAATTGCATCTAGTACCGCAAGGTTCCGCTAGTAGTTAGCCATATCCTTTAGACCGAGCCTAGGTAATGCATCCCTGCTGACATTTACTTCTTCTTTTTTTTCTTAGCAATTGCATAAATGCCCCTAGTTCCTTTCTAATAATCTATTTACTAAGTAGAGATCTAACTTAGAAGGAATATTAGTATTATTAATATCTATTTTACTTTTAGTATCTAAGATATCTAACTTAGAGCTAGAGTCTATTTTAAAAGCGTCTTTTAATTAAGACTCGACGTCGGATAATAGTCTATCGCTAATACCTTCTTCTTAATAGGTTATATTCTTATCTTCTTGTATTCTACTTGCTTCGTTTTTAATTGCTTTGTGCGTACTAGGGTTAAAAGGGGCACTTATTCTCTTAGGTAAGAAGCTCGATGTATATTCTCTTTCTGAGGAATCCGATATAGTAGTATTATGTAACTATAAATCTGAAGTTTCGCAGATATTATTATCTCTCGTAGAGTAATTCTGGTTACTATATAGTCCTATCCCGTATGATCTTAGTATCATATCTCTTAATGGGCTAGGCGAATTTGAGCCTGTCTTAATTGTTCTGTATGGCTTTGGCGTATTATGTAGATTCTGTAGATATGGCTATACTAACATAGACTCTTCTGTTGGTTATGGATGCGATCTATTTCTGGCTATAATGATGTTACTTGTAATATGGTTTAAAGCTAGTGGAGGTGGCGTCTTAGTTCGATCTAACTGGCTAGCGGCGTTTATGAGGATATCGAGGCAGCTTATTGACTCTGTATGATATTATAGCGAGGATGGAGGCTATAAAGCTTCTATCAGTTAGGGGATATAGACTTAAAATTAGATATCTCTATATACCGAGGAGCTCTAAAGCTATTATTAAGTGCATTTAGTAATAATATCTTGCCTTGCTTTCTCCTCTAGTGTATTATATTTTCGAGGCCGCCTATGCTTCTTAGGTGCTTCGGGCATAGTAATCGAGATATAATGCTATAATAATTAACTTAGACTATCTTAAAGTTCTTATAGCTTAATGAGATAAGCTTGCCCTTAAGGTTAACCGCGAAATCCTAATTAGGCTAGTGCGTGACCGCGAAAATTAAATAAAGTTAATATATGACCGCTAAATTCTGGTTGGCTAGAGGTTTTAAGCGCTAGGTCTAAAATAGGCTAGCGCATTGACCGTGAAACTCGAAAGGATAATTTTAACTAACCCGATGGCTTTGCATATAAGGCATATCACGGGGTGTAGAATAGTACAACTGTGAAACTGTCTGTCTAAAGTATAATAGGAAAAGAACAGGGGATCGCTCTTTTATCCTACTTAGATTTTACATATTTAGACTTGGTTGTGTAAACCTCCGCTACTCCCCTTCCACCACAGTTACCTCCAAGCTCACCAGTGCATGGCACATTGCACCGATCGTCACTAACCTTCTTAGCTCCTGGAACCATTGTCATACCACAAGTGCAGAGATTGCCTTCCCAGACAGCAAAGAAATCAGCCTCCTTATCGATAGTGCATAGACTTCCACACGCATTCACACCCATTTCATCCGGCGACTCGATAGTGTCACCCCCTGTCGTGCCCTGGATCGCTGGCGTATTACCATCGTGGACGTAGCAACCGAGGCTCTCGTGCTCGACACGCAATAGCTCTTCTATGCCAAAGATTTCAAGAGCATCTTTGCCACCACAAATATTGGTCGTGTTGCCGTTGCAGTGTATGTTGTAGTTGGAATCGTCTATGCGCTGACTATCCATGCGTAGGCGAGAGTCGCATAGACACGAGTCGCCGTTCTGCAGTCTAAAAACGTATAGCGACTGCGACAGATAGTATGATTGGCAGGCTATGATGGACATGGGTTCCACGTGAAGCGCTTTGTTAAGCGTTAAAATAGTGAGATTGGTATTGTCTGCGTCATGGGCATAGCATCCGAAGCGCTAGTGCGGAGGAATGTCCCATTGATTTGAGAAAGCCTTAGTGGTTGGTCTGACATAGTAGGTCTTTCCTGGAATAAGATCTGTGGTGCACTTGTCTTGCGAAACTGATGGATTGGCAGCGGTGAAGAGACGAAGGCTGATATGGTGCTGGACTAGAACTATAGCATAGTTATCTCCCTCTTGAACTATATACCAACGTCTATATTCTTTAGTCGTCTTTTCCGCTAGAGTGGCACCCTTGGGAGGTGGAATGGCCTTGTTAGTATACTCGGAGTATGCTGGGTCTGAACTCGTATTGTTGACGTCATATTCGAACTCGCCACTAGGCGTAGTTATGCAAATGACGCTACCGAGGGTCTCTTGGGCGGACCTGATGTTTCCGCAAAGCTTATGTATCCAGGGGTTGAGAAAGCGGATGTCGGCTGGCTTAAGGTCTATAGCCGCGGAGACAGACATATAGCTGTCGTCTGGCCGGAGTTTATATGTCTTATATTGGAGCGGTAGATAGATAGATAGGCCTTGGACTATGTCGTTGCAATCGAGGATATTAGGGTTGCCGATAAAGATAGCTACTGAAGAGATGCTGTATTTGATGGCCAATGAGTCGCAAGTATCGCCGGATTGGATGGTATGCTTGACTTCGGAAAGATAGAAGGCGGGCTTAGCCGACTTAGAAGGGAAAGGAGAGTCTTTGGCAGTGGTTGCCTGACCCGATAGAGAGCATCGTGAGACGGCTGCCTTGAGGGCCTCTTGGTAGAAAGACTCCCTCTTATAGTATGAGTAAGGACTAGCCTATATTATCTTTAGCCGGCCGACGAAATAGCCAGAACAAAGTTCGCTATTCGGCATCTTTTTAAGAGTATCAGTGTCGCTAAAGTTGAGGATGATGTCTACCGCGCATTAGAAGAGAAACAGAGATATCCATTGTAAATGCCAAGATTGCTTACCGTTATAGTTCTTTCTAGTTTTCTTGTCGGTTTGACATGTCTCGTTGATACCTTGTGAGATAAAAGAACCCATGATACTAGCAGCAGCGCCATTTGCCCACTTAGAATCACCGCAGTAGGTATCGACAGCTGACCGCTAATCCAAAATGGCTTGCGCGTAGCCCGCGTCACAAACGGAGTCGATATCAACATCCACAGGGAGAATTCCATGATATGAAGCCCTTGTCCATCCGCTTGTGGCATCGTCACATCGCACAAGAGCCGTGAGAGCGTTTTGGCAGGCCTCAGAGAAGTCATCGATACCAATTGTATCCTCCGAATGGATCTTGTAGCCTGGAAAAGTTCGCTGGCCGGTAACATTCTTGGAACCTCCAAGCCAGGCAAGGATGGAAGAAGCAAAGCCGTTTCTGTTTGGCTTGCCCAACGTCGGAACTCCATTCAAAGGACTGACCATCTCTATACTGCCGAGTGTGACGAGATTCTGGACCCAGACATCGTAGCTCTGCTCTGCGTAAAAGATCTTGTCCTGGCAGTCATGTCGACCTGACTTGAGGCATGTCTGATCATAACGGGAGAAAAAGGAGTAAAGGCCAGCGCTGAGAACATGGACTGCTGACGAATCTATGATGCGCAATGCCCAAGCTACAGCGCAAGACTTGGAGTTCTTGGAGGTGCAGTCGTGGAACACGGGGTCGTCAGGGAAGGCTCCAGGCGTGAAAGGAGCTGGGGCTTCGGGAAAAGACTGAAAGTAGGGCGCCTCGGTCTGAATGAGACCCATAACGACATTCTGAGCGCCCGAGAGCTGGTACTGATACAGTACGCAGTGCTCTACAGAAGTACCCCAAAGCCATGTAGGACCCTTGCTTTCGACAAGCATGCCTCTTCCCACGTAGATGTCAACCTGGGTTTGGTCGGCTGTATCAAAATCGTGATCTGCTGTCCACATCCAGACGTTTTCGAAATAACCAGAGGAATCAGGGGTCATGTGAAGCATAAGAGATGCGGCGACACAGTTCTTGTTCACTTTGCCAGATAGCTTCGGGCAGTCTTTGACAGTAAGATCAGTACCCGCTGCGCCACCAACTCTGAAATGGGTATCTGTGAAGAGAGGTCAGCTGGCTTGATCAAAATTACCACTGCGAGAATGGACTTGGGTACCCCATAGGCCAACAGAGCCTTGACCAGATTCATGCACATTCCATTCCATCATGATGGCACCGGCTGTAGCTCCCTTGACGGTCATCATCATGTTCTGAATCTCCACAACACCAACTTGGCCCGGAAGACCGACACGGACGGCGACACGAGGATGCAGAGCGTCGGAAAATTTGGACCCAGTCGCCATGATCTGAGGCCATGCTTGACCGATGACACGAGAACCAACCGGAATCTCAACCGTGTCTGTGATGATATACACACCAAAGGGGATATACACAACGGCAGACATGTTTGCAGCCGCAGAAAATAAATGTCTTAGAACTGCAGTGTCATCCGTTTTGCCATCACCCTTAGCACCGTAGCCCTTGGCATCGATGATCTGACTGAATCCCAAATCATCATATTTGGGACGACGCCTAGTGAAGAATTGACTGCGGTCACCGGTAACGAGAGAGGGGTCTCTCACGGGGCTGTCAAGTTTTGCACCGTTGTGGAAAGCCGTGGTACCATTGGCGCTGGTGACTCTCCCAAAACCCCAGGTATCAACGTTGATGGTTTTGGGACCACCGGGTAGAAGAACCTGCTTCTTGGAGGTATCTTCAACGATGGTGTCCACGTAATAGAAACCAGAGTTGCTCAGCAACAAAGCGGTCGAGTTGTCGGACATGATCGAGGTTGATACAGCGACCTTGACGTAGTGCATTCGAAGGTCGGTCATGTGGAGCGAGCCAATTCCTTGGCCAGTACTCATAGGCTTTGGAAGGTTAGTTAGTCTGTTTGACCTAGTTTATCGAAGGTGAGAACTTACACCTCCTGCGCCGCCCACGATGGTAAAACCAATCTTGCAGTTGTCAACTACAATGTTCTGCATGGTCCAGCCCCAATCCCAGTGGATCTGAATAGCTGTCTCAGCCTCTTCGAAGTAAAGACCACTGGCTGTGAACTGCTGGTTGCCCATGTATGCTCTATTCATGGAGTGCTTAGTCAAGATAATCAGAGACGCAGATTTGGCCAACTCACCCATATTTTCCTCCAACGAAGTAAAGGTCGGAAAGGAAACCACCACTTCCGTTCTCCATGTAGATTCCCTGTAGTCATTCCCAGTGGTGTCAGTAAATCTGCCGTGTGAGAAACCGGATCTCATGACTGAACATACCTGCTGGGTTGTTTTAGGATCATCTTTTGGTTTCGTCATATAGAAGTGAATATTTTCGAGGGAAGTGCCTTGAGCAACCTGCCAGTGAACTCCACAGACTTGTGCATCAGCAGGAGTTGGGCGAATGTCGATGATGAAGTTTCGGACACTACGCAGAAAGTTATTCGTGTTAAGATACCTTGAAACGTCAGGTTAGCTTGCGGTTCACTCATGCTCCATGTCGTTTACCATTGAGACGTCTCTCCTGTATAGACCTGTGTCACTGCTTAGATGGTGGTTCTTGATACATTGTCCTTGAGGACCTACATTGGAAGTAATCACACCGAGACCGACGAAGCTCGGAGCTGCAAGGATGGTAGGAAGATCAAGCGGCTATGTAGTAGCGATGTCAGATATGACTTGACAGACAGGATGGAGGAGAGTAACTTACATTGCCAATCATCTCGGTATTGTAATACTGAATGATGGAAGAGCTAACTTTGTATGTGCCTGGAGGGAAGTAGACGGTTGCTGGGTAGATGGTGCTCCCGGTACATTTGCCTCCACCACATCGACCACCGCTTGAGATGGCTTTGTTGATGGCATCCGTATCGTCAGCAATACCGTCACCTGTGAAACGCAGTTAGAAAATGTCTCCTCCCCTCGGTTCAGATCAGCCCAGAGGGGTTACTCGCCTTTGGCGCCAAAGTCTTTGACATCTCGCCAAACTTGGTATCCAGACGGGGCAAAGGGGCTAGAGCCTCTTTGAGAGATGGTGGCCATCCACCAATCCGTGCTAGCTCTCTTCCCAAGACTCTCGTCTTTGTCCGCAGCAGGCTCAGCGATATCAGATTCGTTGGCACTGTAGCGGAAGGCGGAAGGTGGCTCTTCGACGTGTTTGATCAAGCCTGAGTCATACTGAAGCATGGGAGGCATCATGTTGGTATCGTTGACCTTGATCATGAAGTCATCCTTCAAGTGTTGCACGTCAGCAGCGTAGCCGCCGTCGAGGTCCTTGGGGGATGGTTTCCAGTTCTCTGAAAGAAGACGTGCAGCCTTGATAAGTTCATCAGGAACAGAATAGCGAAGGTCTTTCGCCGTTCCATTTCCTGAATCTCTAGCCTTGAGTGAAGATGCAGTGACGTTTCGATAGTCCAGTGGTGGAGGTGGCTCCTGAGCCTTTGCAAGCTCTGTAGCGTTGAGCACTTCCAGACGGTTTGGACGAGGGTTGGCAATAATGGCACGGTTTGCATGAGCCATGGCAGCTTGGCCAGCAGCCAAGAGCTTCCGTGCCTCATCTAGGCTTGACCCATCGTGAGAAGAGCTGTTGGAAGCGCGTTTATGAGAATGATGAGGAGAATGCAAATGAGAGTGTTTAGAATGAGTGTGCTGATGACCCGTGGCAAAGACAGAGAGGGTCATGTAAAGCAGGAACAAAAGGAAGCGCAACCACATCTTGAGACGATGATGGCCACCAAAGAATGACTGTTTTCAGCGATGTCCAAGTCAAAGGAATGTTCTCAGAGAGTAGAGTAGGTAATATTATCGACTTGAGGGAAAACCAAGATCAAAGAAGGTAACTAACCCCAAAGTACCTTTACGGAACGACCGGAGTGTCGGAGGTTGGAAAACTCGAGCTAATTACTGCAAATTTCTCGTCACACGGAATCACATAACATCATGTCACCGAGCCGATTTACAAAAGGCCCAAGTGGATAATCTACCTTCCGGATTCTCGCTTCACATACGATTTTGATGGAGTATGGGCCTGGGCCCTCGGAATATGGCCCGTTGTGGATGTGCATAACTAATAAAAGTGGGTGAGTTGAACCCTTTGAACCCTTGAAGCGAGAGTCGAGTAACTAAATTAGGATGCCGAGACTGATTAAGTTCGAAGAACCAACACAGCTGTCCAGTAGCCCACATTCTAGAGTTAAACGATCGGGTCGTGATATCCGAGAGCGATACAATGTAAAATTAAGGGTCCATAAACGGCCCGGGCCTTGGCAGATAATACCCTCAATCGAGTTGGAATCTTAAGCGAGAGATGATGATCTGACAAATTAGACCATGTTGCCGAGCTATCGTAGGGTTGAAATTTCCGAAGACCGGACAACTCTGTCGAGATGATTTCCATGTGAACAAAGTACCTACCCTCTTTTGGTCCTGAAAGTCCTCCAAGACGTTTTCTCAACCTCCCATTCATTCCTTCTCTATTGTATTTCCACCAACACTCACTATTGTACGGTCAGACTGGCTGTCTTTTTTGTTTGATGAACATGTCGTTCGCTAACGGCCGTTTCCGGCCTTTCTTATTAGTTTTTCTTATCGTTCAACTTCTCTTTGTCGCTATATACGCAGCTAAATGCAGCAAGATAAAACTCTATGCAACTAGTTGTTGCAGTAGTGTAGGTTACTGCGGTACTACCACGGACCATTGCGGGAAAGGATGTCAGAGTACTTGCGATTTCAAGCTCGAATGCGATAAGAATAACCCGTATAAGGGCAATATATACTATTCTAAGTATGGTTACTATGGACTAGGCCTAGACTATAAGTTAGATTATTAGTATAACACAGTTAATATATTAACTTATAACAGTTTGCAGCAAGGATAACTGTGTTACTGGTTGCGAGGCAAAGGGAGAGTATAACCCTAGTGGCTTTAGGGTTAGCTTCGCCAACCATACTAAGTGCCCACTCAACGTCTATTATTCCAAGCATAAGTAAGCATTCGCATCCGCATAAGTCTATCTTACCAGACTAATAAGTACAGCTACTATGGGACGACCAAGGAATTCTGCGGCAAGAAGACTATGAATCGCCCGTCGTGCTCCTCTAAGGGTCCAATGAGACGAGTAGTGGGATATATCGAAGGATAGGCTTCTACTAGACCCTGCGACCGCTTTAAGCCCTTAGATATCCCAGATAGCATCTATACTTATATTAATTTTGCTTTTGTAAGTATTGACCCAAAGACCTTTAAAATCGTCCTAGCATCTAGCAACGACCTGGCTCTTTACCGCGAGTTAATACTTAAGAAGAGGATAGATCCTAACTTAAAGGTTTTCATCGCCATTAGAGGTTAGGCCTTCAATGACCCAAGACCTACCGTCATAACCTTCTCCGATATTGCTCGGTCCGAAGCCAACCAGAGGACCTTTATTAAGTCTCTTATCTCATTCATAGCCACTTACGGCTTTAATAGTGTCGATATTGACTAGGAGTATCTAGCTACTAATAATCGTGAAGGACGAGAAGAGGATTATGATAATCTTCCTAAATTCCTAAGTAATATTAAGAGCGCATTAAAGCAAAGCGGCGAGAGAAATGGACTCAATATCGCTATCCCCGCTTCGTATTGGTACCTTTAGCACTTTGATCTCGCCAAGATTTCTAAGTATATTAACTACTTTAATATTATAACATATGATTTCTACGGTACGTTTGAGATCTATGCTATATAAAAGGACTATCGCTGACTATCTCTTTATAGGTTCTTGGGATACTCCTAAGTCATGGCTCGGTAACTATCTTAACTCTTATACTAATTTGACTGAGATTAAGGACGCTTTTAATCTACTCTGGCGCAATAAGATCGATCCTAATCAAGTCAATATGGGACTCGCATTCTATGCGCGTACCTTCTCTATCTCTAACCCTAGCTACATATCTCCTAGCTATCTTTTTGATGCCGGCGGCCCTGCATAGTCCTACACCGACGCCGTTGGTGTTATGTCTAACCCTGAGATCATGCGCAAGTTGGGTGGCAAGATCGGTCAAGGCGAGCTGGATAAGACTGCTGCTATTAAGATTCTCTAGTTTGGCCGCACGTAGCTGACCTATGACGATGTCGATACCTAGAAGCTTAAGCTGGACTTTGCTCGCAGCTAGTGTCTTGGTAGCGCTATGGTCTGGGCTATTAGCCAGGATACTTCTGAGGGCAAGTTCTCAAAGCAATTGCAGCAGGCTATAGGCTATAAGTCTCGTGCTGTGATAACTTTCAATACTACTGTTGCCCTTGGTGGTGGTGTCTTTAAGGAAGTCACCGAGAGCGAGGCCAATGGTGACGTTAGCAGCTCTCAATGCCGATGGACCAACTGCGGACAAACATGCCCAAGTAAATGGTTAGAGGTCAAAAGGGAGGATCCCTACAGGAAAAGCAGCAAAGAGCTTATGCTGGATGCCACTGGCTGCGGTGGCAATGGCGTTCGAACATTTTGCTGCCCGCCAGGTAAACAGCCCTTCTGCCAATGGCTGTTCCACAACAATGGGAAGTGCTCGCCTGGTTGCCCAGACAGAAATGGGGAGGAGCCAATGTACGAGGTTGCGTCAACCTCGGCTGCGTGCAACAACGGTAAAGCCCAAGTGGCGTGCTGCAGGGGCAATACGCCAGCTCTGGATGTCTACCGCCAGTACAAGTGGTATGGCAAAGAGCACGACTGTGCCATCGATGTTGGATCCAAGCAATGTGGATGGAGTCCCACCTTCAACATGCCACTCACTTCGAGCTGGGATGGCAGTGGCGCCCAAGTCTGCAAGGACAGTAAGGGGAAGAGAGGAACGAGGCCTCTCTGCGGAGACGAGTCAGACCCAAGCAAGCCTCACTTCACGAACTGCGAGTGGGTTGACAAGTTCAACCTCGGCCTCACCGATATTGCCGATCGTTCCGAGTGCAACGGCAACTGTCCATCCGGCAAGGTCAAGGTGGCCTTGCAGGTGCAAGAGAACATGTGCCGCAAGGGCACTTTGGCCTACTGTTGCGACGTCCAAGCCTCATTTTCATCGGGCGATCTCGACGATATCGACCAGGATGACGTGGAAGCCTTGCTCAAAGCCTGGGTCAAGAAGCCTACATGCCCCAACATAGACGTTAGCGAGCTTTCCTCCCGCTCCACGGATACCAATCCCTCATCTGTGCGTGAGCAGTTGGCTTCCTTGGTCAGACGCGGTGCTCCTATGTCTAGCGCCGTAGCCGTCCAGCTCACGATGCAGCGTATCATGGAGCATCCACCAAATTCGCCCCTAACCAAGAAGGATCGAGAGATGTTTGACAGGGCTTTCAGCCCCAGGTGGCCGCACGTTGCTGCAGCTTACATGGCGGCCACGTGGAACCCTCTCAAAGACGTCATGTCTATGGCCCTGCCTACCGTGAATAGCATGTGCCATATGAACGAAGAAGAAAAGGCGGCAGAGGACGCAGGCACGGGGGTGGGCATTGACGAGCAGCTCATTTGCCTCTGGAAGGACCTTGAAGCTGTTGATCCTGGGCTTCTCCAAGATCCAGAGGACGTGGATAGTGACGTTGAGGGCCCCACCATTGAAGATCTTGAGGAGGCACTCGGAGAATGGAACTGGCCAGTGAGATGGGGTATCAAGCCAAGAGGAACTGGCGGAGCGCGCCCTGTCTCCGCGACCTGTCCCGACAAGAGCAAGGTCAAATTCAAAACAGAGGAGTACATCAATGGCGACAACGGAGATGCCTTGGCCAACGCCAATCAGGATTTCAGCCGGTACGGTATGAAGGACAGCGGTGACTGTTTTGATGACGCCGTCGATGGCAATGGCGATAAAGACGACGACGAATGGGTTTGTGAGTAACAAGAGCCGATCATCCGTTTCATACACTGACTGACTGTGAATAGCTGAGCATATTCTGGAACTTCAAGCATTTCGCAACTTTATTGAATACTCAATGGATGTCCAACACTCAATACGACGACGCACAACACCATCTGGTATTACGATCAAACCACTTTTCAATCCTAGTACGGATAATTTGGCAACTTGTTCCATGTGGAAAAAGGATTTTCTCGACGGCTTTAAAAAGTGGACAGACGCTGGCAACACTGAGACGCCAAAGAAACAACTGTACTCACTACTTGGCTCAAAGGGCCACTCATCTCACATGGTGAATTGCGGAGCCAAGCTCAACAGTATGAAAGCCAGAGTGAGTTCCATACCCAATCCAAAACTGAGGTCGTCTTGGCTAACCCATTTGTCACCAGTTTTGGAAGTTCAGCGACCCCATGTCAAAGACCAAATGGGAGGCCCACTGCTCTCAGGCCAAAAAAAGTCACTTAGAAAGAGCGTTTTCTGAATTCAAGTTGGTGAGTCAATTTTGTCTCTGTACAAGAAAAAAGCCGTACTAACACCTTGAACCAGATTGCCGGTGTCTGGAATTACCTCAACAACGAAGACATACAGGATAAGCTCGTTGCCACTCACAAAGACATTGCAAAATGGCTGGTCAAGTTCGAGGATCTCTACCTAAAGGAGCATCCTACAGCTAAGAGGATGCATCTCGGCGATATCCAGTGGCACGATTTCATGACAGAATATTTTCAGGCAATGCTTCGCTTCAGCACGGACTGGACGAACATGCGCCTCAAAAATCTTCGAAAGCTGTGGAGCGATCGTCTTTTGCAGTTGAATAGGCAATACCAGCAAGCCGCAAGTGGTTCGCGACTTGCGGCTCAGATTCAAACCCAAAGGTATGTGGTATTAAGCAATTTAGATGATATCCAGAAGTGGGAAAGGAAGTTGAAATCGCAAACTACGTTTGATGAAGAGCTTTTTCAGCTAGAGTAAAAACCAGCTTCAAGGGCAGCAGTATCCAGCTTGCGTGCAGTCTTTGAACGTCAACATAAGTAGTAGCTATAGATTAAGTGAGAAGTTTCTTAGTTGGTCTGATTATCGTACGTTTCTAGACGAGTTGCCTTGCCTTTGTGTTGGAAGAGTGGAGTGATGTGATGGGTTGTTAGTTATACCGAGGATTGACCCGAGTCAAAGCGGGTTTCTTTCACATGAAGCATTGTTGGGCTGACTAATAAAAACCCTACCAATGTTATATAAACCCTCTGCCCCTCACAGTTCGTGCTCGGTTCCTCACAACTCGCGCACTCACCAACACGACACGACTTGCGTTTTTACCACGAGAATGGATCCAAACCTAGAGCTCTACAGGAGCATATTGCATCTTGATATAACAGAGCGCAGACAACGCATGCAGCATCTTCCAACATCAGAATGCGTCAGAGTCAGGAAGATTGTTGAGAGGGAGCAGAGCGCCCAGAAGCTGCAAGAAAAGCTTGCAGGTCGGGACCTTGTTGAGATGGCTCTAAGTGATCCGTCCGAGTTCAAAGATAGCCCGCTCTTGCAAAACGCTCTTCTTGGCCGAGCTCTCACCTTTCCCGACGAGTGCACCATGGTGGCCCGCGTCGCGGGCAAGGGTTGGTTCACTGGCGAGGCTCTGCTCAGCTCTGTGGCATGCTACGATCAAAATCATGAGCCAGAAATACCCATCGATGCCTGGAAACTGGTCTATTGCGACTTATATTATATCGACGGGAGCAATGCGACACTGCAGGACATCTATGAAGAGCGTCTCCGAGAAGAGGAGCTCCAAACCCCTGCTGCGCAAGCCAGAGAGATCATCCGGCGCGACGTGATCAAGTTGGCTCGGAGAAATGCCAAATGGATGATTTCTGGTCTCGAACAACTTCCGGATAAGGAACGGGTACAGGAGAGTTGGCAATACAAAGAAATTTTACACACTATCTGGAAACGAGTCTCCCCCGCGCCACCAGCTTGGATCCAGCACATTCTCGATGCAAATGAAGAATGGGGTTTCGTCTATTACAGGTCCAGGGAGGTCCAAAGGAAATACGGACATGACTGGGCATCATGGTGGGCCAGGGTCTTGGACAGCCAGCTGCCCGATACTGAGAGGAACATCGGAGATGCAACTATCTTCAGTATCCATTGTCAAGGTAATCGATCTGACCTGATGTATCTCTCAACTGAGGATTGGCCTACTTTTCAGGCTAATAATAACTTGGCCGAAGACGATGACTTCCGAAAGTAAGTGATTAATTCGTTTAATGCACGAAGAATAGACATACTAACTACTTTATAGACAATTTAAAAAATACATACAAAACAAAGGCGATCTCTTACCGGCGGGAATCTCGCGAAGCACCTTCATTGTTATCCCTACCGAACTAATCCCCGACTCGCCTGAGTGGGATGAGGATGATGAGCTTGATCCTTATTGGGTTTGGGCATACGATGCAGACTGGGACAGTTCAGAAGAAGAGACAACATTTGAGGGAGAGACGTACCAGGGCCGTGTCAAGGTGGCTTACTACTCGCTTAAGTCATGGTTCTATGGCGCTCGCTGGGAGGGTGTGAGTCTCCGAGATATGTGGCTGAAGGCACAGCAACACCCAGACAGGTTGTGGATCTGCTACACAAAGCATATGGAAGAGCGGGATCATGAGCCGTATATTTAATCTCAAGCGAAGACTACTGCCTGCTAAAGCTAGAGGTGTTTAAAATATTAGAACTGGTAAAAAGGGGATTATTACTAGGTTAGATATCGACTATAAAAATGAAATAAGGGTGCTATTTTTAGGCGTATATCCTTGTGCACAATGACGCCTGCATAGCACCGCTCGAGGACTGAAGACTCCAGGCATAGGTTGCATCCGCTCAACTGCTGCCAGATGGCAGAGGCCCAGCATGCAGTGAAATGTAAGTGATACCATAACAAAAACGATCCCTGGCCAATGATCAGTGCCCAGGGATATTTCCACACTGCTAGTCTGCCTTGTGGGCTGGCTGATGTACACTTTTATGTAAGCGCCTGGCGGATGGCCCTAGTACTCAGTGGGAACGAGGCAACTATGTTGCGATATCATCGCCAATGGCACGTCCATATATAAACATGGGGGGCTGAGCTTACACAAACGCGTCATATCCTGGAGATAAATACCTCGCTGGTGCACCCCCGATGCCTGTTAACATCCTGGTCTTGTTATTAAATAGATTCTTCTATTACATCTTTTAGGCGTCCCTAACTTATCGGTTAATATGCAGCAATCTAGTTGCTTAAGCCTCCTCTATTAAGCAGGATATTTCCCTATAGATAAAATATATCCCGAGCTTTAGTAATTCAAACGACGAGGAGTGTTACGACCCAACAGGCCTCACGTCACGTGGAAAAGGATATACCCACAAATTGCATTTTCCCTGACCTATCAGGACGCCACTCACGATTCTAAGAGTGAGCCTCACGATCCCAGACGTAAGCCTTGTCACGGCCATGACATGGACCAGGCGGGGAAGCCTGGCAGAACCAACTGACTAAGCAGTAGGGACCGAAAGGACCGAGCTTCGCTCCTCCCGGTCCCAGGACCGAACAAAACCAGTGTCGGTCCTACCCTGGACCGAGTGTAGACAACGTCGGTCCCAGGACACACTCAAAGTATATAGAACACATTCGTTAGCACTTCCATATGTACCAGCTACCTCAGCTATCGATACAACTTGGTTACACTCAATACCCTTGAGCACATTACCAGACGTGACTTACACCACCCTTCAAGGCTACGCAACATTCTCCTCTGCCAACATAAACCAGCACGACCGGTTTATCCCTTGGGAATCCCACGATCGTCACAACTATCTTCTTTTAGAATCCCCTAACCCTTCAAAGCCTCTCGACGGCGGGAATTAGCTTTTTCTCTACTTATTATATATCCTTAACTAACCTTAGCTATTTTATAATAACCTTTATTTCTTTTTCTTTTTTTTTCTTTCTTTAATTTTATGTATCCTTATTATCTACTTTGGCCTTTATATTACTCTTTCTTCTTTATTCCTCTCTTTTATTCCTATATTACTTATCTTACCTTTCTAGCTTTAATTATTTAACTTCCTTCCTTTGCCAATCTATATCTACTCTGCAGTCTCTGCCATATATACGAATACCCTGCACATATTCCATGCTTGTAGCCCTCCCCAATCAATCCGTCTCCCCATCCATCTCCATACCTCCTGCTGCTTAATTCTTCCCGCATCCAAACTACCCCCTTCCTTTCTAAACCCAAGCCTGAAAAATAACTCCTCTGCCTCTACCGGCGATAGCGTATATACATACGCGATCGTCGATGCCAAAATGCCCCGGTACCGGCACTCCCCTCCTGGAGTTCTCCGCCAGCCACCCTGTACCTCGTCTTCCTCCCACCTAGTACATATTTCCTGCGGAAGAAAGCATTCATAACAGCCTCCAAACCCCTCCATTACTCCTTCCCTCCTCAAATAACTTTGCATCCGAAGCCCCATATCAAAAATCCTCCTCTCTAACCCCCCACTAGTCCGTGCCATCTCGCAGTCCATTATGGTATGGTCCGCGCTGTTACCAACCAGATCTAGCCGATAGCAAAACATGCAGCCACCAAATAACCGCTCCTGGAGTCTCTCTTTGAATAGTTCAACCTCCCTTGCTTCGCTCATGGCCCTGTTCGTCACCCAGCTTCGAATCAGCCGTACGTTAATTTCCTGCTCCCTCACATCCACCTCCTCATCCTCTTCGCTCACCTCTAGATCTTCCAGCTCAGCTTCCTCGCCAGCGGCCCGGCATACGTCGCACCACTCCTCCCCTTCCTCGCAGCTATCCCGATCAACACGCCCGTCCATCTCCGAGTCCAAGACCACACGTCTGCACACCCTCCCGCTGACGAAGTCTTCCACGGACCCGTAACCCCCAAACCCTGTTGCTCTCCTTGCCTGCCCCTCGACTGCCACCCGCACTACTATCGCTTCACTCTGCTTACCGTCTCTCCCAGCTCGTCCGCTCTGCTGCGCGTAATCTGCCATCTCAAATGGCATCTCCACATGCATCACCACTCGAATATCTGGGACGTCGATTCCCAACCCGAGCGCGTTAGTAGCTATAATCACCCGCCCTCCGCCATATCGCTCTCGCTCCATCCCACTCATCCAAGCCCGTAGCCTCTCCGCCTTGCCATCTCGAGTATCAACATCTCGGTGGTAAGCATCGCAGTTTAGCTCAGTCGCAAGAGCATCAGTTGCCATGACTGTGTTGCAGTATACAATCATCTTCGCCGGCCATGGATACTCCTCGAGTTTCTGATCCAGAATCTCTCGGACCCTTGTCGTAACCGCCTCGCTGGCCTCTTCGGGGGTTGCTGCTGCTAGCGTCTGAACGCTATATGCGACGTTCGAGCGTGTCGTGCTGGTTCTGATCATGGTCACATCCTCTGGTCGCGCATTGATCAGCTCAAAAAACTCCTTCTCCTTGCTTGGTGGCAATGTTGCCGTCAGATATACCATCTGTACCCCCACCAGTGCTAGCCGTCCAAGCTCTCTCAGCCTCGGTCGGAAGTCCCGCGTGCCCTCCAAGATGGTATGAGCCTCATCAAACACAAATCCGTCGAGTTGCGCCATCACTCGAAGCCCTTCCACGTAGTCGTGGAACCGCTTGGTCATTGCCGACTCGGGCGTGACGAAAACAAGCGACGCCGCCCCTGGGGATTGATCACTGCGCCACTCGGCACATGGTATCTTCATCTTCCGGCAACGTTCCATCAAGTCGCCCTGTAGCGATACCAACGGAACTACGACCACAGTCACGCCGCCTGGGCAGCTCGCCGCCGGCAGCATGAACCCCAAGCTCTTCCCGCCACCCGTTCCCATCACCACCACGATTGGGCTCTTGTTCATCATGATCGCTTCGATCGCCTCTCGCTGCACGCCCCTGAATGTAGCCTGCTCTCCGTAGAGACGAGTGAGTTCACGGTCGATATTGATCCGGCGGCGTAGCTTCTATCTCTTCAACTGCAGCTCTTGAAGTGCTTCGTGGTGTACGGATGCATTCTTCCGCTTACGGCCCGGCTTGAGAACCTCGCCGAACCCTCCCATCGCAGACGGAAATCCTAGCAGCCGATGCCACTCTTCACTGATATATCGAAAGTTGACTCGGCGCTCGTTGGTCTCGAAAGCTCCCTCGGTTACGAGTCTTCCGTAGATCAAGCCTGCGATCTTGGACCCGTGACCAGCTTGCAGATCATACGGACTATCCCCATCATCATCGCTATCGCTGTCGCTGTCGTCGGAGTCTGCTTCCCGCAGTAGTCTCGTGTGGGCTGTGGATGCATTCCGGAAGTATCGTCGTCCGATCGCAGTTGATATGTGCCTCCAGCTGCTGATGTTGAGCTTCTGCCCACACGCTGCAACACCAAGCCTTCGGATGATGCGTGCCAAGCGCGGTGACGTCCAGTGCTCCCCGGGTCCTAGCTTCCAAGCGCCTTGCCCGCCCTCCCCAGCCTGGCTAGCTTGTTCTTGACTAGCCTCTGCAGTGCCGTCGGGTTGCTCGTTGTCCTGCGGGCCACTGCTCTCCGGTGTACCTTCGGTAGCCCATAAACCAGCGTCAAAGCTAGACCGGTCCCATACATTTGCCTGGACATCCTCCCAGAACAGCAAAACAAGCCACAAGAAGTACACCAGCGGAGTGCCAACCTCCCGCGGTAAGAACCGATGAATGATCTTGAGCCTTCCAGACGTCGAGAAGCCTTTATGTACACCCGTGACGATCATAACGAGCCCCTGGTCAATCAAAATGTTCCGGATTCCTCCGTTGGCTGTGTTGCGGTGTCGAATCGTGAGAAGTTCATATGCCCTTGGGGGAAACCCGCCACTCAGCTGCGCCAGAAACAGCAACAACTCCAAAGCTTTCTCCACCTGGAGACCATATCGATATGCCGCCTTTGCATTTAACTCTATGCCACCATCGCCATCACCCACCGATTTAACCCACGTAGCCCTCAAGCTATCGTCCTGCAATATCTTTCGAACGACCCAGCCTTTGCTTGCGCCTCCATCATGCTGGAAGAGTTTGTCGACAAATGAATGACCAATCGTTTCGTCAGCAGCGTTGTCCAAGAGCTCGTCCCACGGGATCTTGGGTAAGCCAAGCTCAGTCGGAGACTGATCTGAAAACTCTTTGCAAAACAGCAAGTCCTTGTATAGTACGTCTTCCAGCTGGTGGACGGCCATTCTCATCATGGCCTGTACGTCAAGAACACTAAGCCGGATGCCCTTGAAGACGATGTGTTCCTTATCCCAGCTTACCGAGCCTTGGGATGCCGTATTGTTGTGTGCAGCCATGCCAAAGTTTCGGAGTCGGATGATGAACTGTGTTGGCGTTGTTTCCCATCCTTCTCCTCCTCCGACCATAAACCGGCGAGTCATCTCGGATATGAGCGCAAAGTTACTCGGACTGTTCTCCTCTGCCTCTTCTCGGCCCTGGCCCTGCTGCATTTTTTGCTTGATGGTCTTGGCTCGCTGATCAACTGCGTACTTGACGATACAGAGACGGGATATTGCCATGATTGCGGAAAGCTTGGGGGTGAAATTTGCGTAGCCCTCCCAAGTGCCATCCGCACGGACGCTCAGAACCGTCAAGAAGCTGACGAGAACGCTGTCATACTCCGTGTCCTTGGTGAAATGATCAAGAACGGATATATAAAGCTCCAAAACGTCATTTTCAAGCAAATCAAGAAGCTTGGATACTTCTGGAGCCTCTGGGTCACCGCCATGGTCCTTCCAAGCGTCGGTCAAGTCGTCTGCGTGCTCCATCATCGTATCGTATGTATTCTGCTGTCTCCTGCTTAGCTTGAACGGTGGCCGATCTGCCTTGTCATCGAAAGACATACAGCGAACGATATAAGCAAGTAGTTGTTTGACCACGAGCGTGTATCGTCTCTGAGTCTCGGGCTTGAACCGGAAATGAAATGGCTTGCTCCTCTCCTTGATAAGTTCCTTGCGGTTGACCTCGAACAGAGCATTCCAAGAGACATTTTCGGGAGTAATGACGGCTCTGGCGTGGTTAACCATTCGATCAAATGCGATGTGTATGAACCTAAGCTGAGCGTCGTCTGACTCGTCCGGGTCATTCGGATCGACTTCGTATTCCATAGAGATCAAGTCCCTCAGAAAGTCCTTTTTCCCGCTAAATTCCTTCAAGTGAAGAGCAGAACCAAGCCGGCGAAGCCATGGATTCGGCGCCGTAAAGTCATTCTCCCCATCAATGCGCCCTGCCTCTTGGCTCCGGATGCCATTGCCTTTTCTCTGGTGGACCTAATCCTGCAATTGACGGAGCTATTTATCTATTCCGGCATATGAGCTCTGATGTAATAACTCTACTATGGGCTTACTATAAATAAATGCTTAATGCCTTATAGATAGTAGTCAATACATAAGGCAAAAAGGTTAAATTCTTAAATTTCTAATTATTTATCCGGCCAACCTCGAACCATGAACTTTTATAGCCACGCTTAAATATTCGCTGATATTTTACATTACCCCTCCATAGTTGCGATTCTGGGTCTAGCCCGCTTAAATCTGCCGCACTATTCTCCTCATCCGTACTGCCATGTTCTATCCGCCAATGTTCTCGTATTCGGCGAAGATCTCGCCCAACGTATTGACAAGAATTGCAGCCTAGCCCCCCATGCAGTGGCGGTTCAATATATGGAATTGGCTCTGTATCTGGGGGTGGAAATACCCAGCGCTGCAAGTCAACCGAATCCTTCATGATATCTGGTATCTCGACAATCCGGTCACTGATATCCCGGCGTTGCTTCTGCGTAAAATGCTGGCGATGAAGGGGATCGCGAAGATGTGCCTTGACCTGCTTGGCTAAGACAGCTGTCTTGCAGTCGAGGCATATAACCAGATTCAATTGCATGAGGTGAACGAATGGCCCGATTGTTGGTGGTGTGTCGTCCTGCGCGGGCTCAGCTTCATCTGTCTGCCTCTCGGGCGGTGAGCTCGGCATATCGTCATAAGTATGCGAAACGGTGTCTTCGTCGACTCGAACAGCCAATAAGTCTTCACTAGCAGACCGCGATACCACTCCGGCCGCCACGGGATCATTCGCAGATAACGGGTCAATTCCTAATCGCAGTCGTTTGTGACCCAATGGTGATTCCGCAGAATCAGACATAAATGGCCGCTTTTGAGATGGTGCGATGCTGTCACTGGCGGCGATTGAACGTTCCAATTCGCCGGGCTCGGGCCCCACAGAGATATAGCTAGTTCTGCCACCTTCTTCCCACAAGAAGGCATGCCAGCTTGCTGAAACCCGGCTATAGGCTTGGAGTAGTGCGGGTTGAAGATGGTCTGGGTAGGCACCGTCGAGACCGTAGGTTGTATGCCGTTGCATGGGCCTGTGTCCACTCTGCCACGCATAAGCCACTTCATGCGCCGCCGTCCTGGTGGTATCATCAAATCTATTAAAGCGTACAGCAGCGGCACGTACATGTCGTTCTGTAATAGCAATTGAGATTTGGCGATATAACTGGACGCCAATGCCGGACGGGATGCCTGAGGCGGTATTACAATGACGTCGAAGCTCTCTGGTGAATGTTGAGGCGGTCCAGGATGTTGGTTTTACGCCTATTTGCGAGAGCGGCGAGAAGAGAAGTGCTTCGGTAGACTCCTGGTGGAAACACTTGCGCAGTATTGCTAATGCGACTGGCCGTATATAGACGAGATACTGGAATACGAGCCGAGAGACCAGTGGGGAGAAGAAACGTATAACATAGAACTCATTGTTAGTCGCCAGTCGAGCCTTATGGTGTCGGATAATTGAGAACATCTTTGCGCCCCATATGCAAACCCCTCGCTCTCTTGATGAGGTATTGAAGCACTCTAGTGTTAATAACTCCGAGATTCGCGCACACTGACCGCCGTCAATGTTGCAGAGCACCATAAGTACTCTTAAGAAATCATCATGCGCCTCCAGGTAGGACCGAGCAGCTCTAATATCCCAGGTACTCTGGTCTTTGCCCCGTGCCCGAAGCAGACCGTCGATCGGAGAGATACATGCCCTCAGGAGCAGTTCGAGATGGGCATCCATTAGCTTGTTGGCAGGGTCAGATACGAAGGAGTAGCCCGGTGTTGTCATCGATAGCCTATCCCGGATCTGCGAGAGATCGCCATGCTCAGGCTCCCAGTCATACATCAAACGAGAGCAGGATGAAGTGGCCGAACGCAGTACCTCATGAGCTAGGCCGCGGAAGTTTGACATCGACAGTTGTTGGTTGCCATCCCAGGAGAGCACCTCGCCGTCATCGCTCCAGTGAAAGCGGAAGGTCGACCCCTGAGACCGCCGAAGGGCATTTCCGTACGATAGGAGACTCAGGAACTCTCCCATGGGCGATAGTGTGCCATCGCACATATACTCTCGTCGGTCCGCGTTGAGTCTTCGCAGCAGCCCCTGACGCGGCCGACGCGCAATGCCACCGTAACTTCGTGAGAAACGCGGGAGTACTGCTTCGAGAAAGACCAGCCGGGAGCAGTATATGAGTCTCGCCAGGATAGGGGTGAACCGGTGAGGCTGGAGATATTCGTCGCCGTCAGGGGTCGACAACCCGCGCACGGCACTGAAGAAAACCAGCATCGTCGAACTCGCAACACCGTCCTCGAAGTCTTCAGTAATAGCAGAGTAGCAAAAGCGTAGTAAGATATCGGCGGCGGGGTCTTGGGGGTGGTGCTCCTGGCCATCTGAAGACCAAGTGCAAGTTGTCTCGGCGTCGAACTGATCGCCTGTATCCGCAGCCATACTCCTTTGGCCACTATCTTTGTTTTCGTCTTGTTGCTCCCCTTTATACTCATCATTACCTTCATCTTCATGATCTTCATCTTCATCTTCATCTTCACTCTCATCCTCGCTATCGTCCTCGTCCTCCTCACCATTCTGCCCTTCACCCTTACTATCACCAGTGTCCGCATCGATAGGTTCCTCAGACCTCCAGATATCGTCCACCCAAAGCTCACGAAGAGCTCTAAACTGATGTTTATTCAATCTTCGGCCTGTGACTTCTCGTGTGACTACCGGCAATAAACGGAATAGTCGAAGCCAGAAGCAGACAAAGCGCTTCAATTCTTTTCGGTAGACCTTCTCGGAAGATGGCTTGGTAACCAGCTCGAAGGGCGCCTTAAACGGGCGGTCTGGAAACCTGCCGCGAAGCCACCTTCTTAGGCAGACATCAGTTCCCCGGACTGTCTCGCCGCATTGGTCGAGGAGGCGATCCAATGCTGCCACCATCGACACCAATCTTCGTTCATCTCGCGCCAGGCTGTAAATGACCTCCCCTCCGAGGACACCTAGCGGCTTAGGGCGGTTAGTCCCACGTTCGGGTAGCTCCGCGAGCGAGACAAGAATATCGTGACGCGCATCTTTGAGTATCGTTTCCCAGCCTGTGCGCCGCATCCAGTTGGTCTGGAGGGCAGAAGAGGTCAATTTCTCGCCCGTAGGCGATCTCTGATGGCGGCTCTGTTGATTCTCCAGACGGGCATGTTCCTCTGCAAACAGTTTTTGGGCAAGCTGTCTGATAGGATCAGGACTGGCCTGCAGAAGGAGGCTGCTAGGTACAGACCTGCCGCCAAAGTGGCCGTCGGCGACGACGAGCCATGACCTTCTGGTATTGTTAAACGTCCAGCTCTGGAACAAAACACCTTGCTGGATATGATCTCGCAGCTGGTGCCGCCGGGTTTGCTTTCGGGTTGCGAGCTCTAACTTGTCGCGGTGTTCGGCCTTGAGATGATCCGCCAGAACCTTCTCGCTAGCGGAGCGAAGACCACAGTGCCTACAGGAAGAGGCCACCTGCACCGTCAGGTAAGGGTGGGGTCGTGATCCATCGGATCTAGGGGCCAAGCTGTCTGGATCTGGGAGATTCAGCGAGGACAAGAGGGGCTTGAGACCATGTCGAGCAGACTTAGCAATGCCGTGCTTCTTGCCAGGATGCTCCGATGCACGTTTAGGGCTAAGAGCGAAGCCGCACTTAGTACATATGATGGCTATTTCTGGCAGATTGTAATAAAGACTGAGCGTCTCGAGCTTCTGCAGCTTCGCCGGGGATAGAGTGGGATAGCTATGTTGCTCTGGCTAGACAGTCCCATTCTCGTCGATAAAGAAGCGCGCCATTGCGACCAGACTTATATAATAGATAGAACGAATAGATAGAAGCTAAGGAGCTATTACATAGAGAGAGGATAGGTATGCGAATATAGTGGATGATGATAAATGTTGTTGTTTAGTTCTGGAGCAGCGAAGGCAATAAATTCAACAGGGGTCAGACGACGGAAACGCGACGCGTTTCGCGTTTTGGGTTTTCTACTTTTATTGGCGCTCTATGAGAAACGCAGTGCGTTTCTAGAGGGGGAAATACGGGGCGGAAATGCTAGACGGTGATTGGTCCGAAACGGGAAACGCAATGCGTTTCTGGCGTGCATTCTTGAGTAGGGGTATTAAGGTCTAGTCTAATAGCTAAGATAATAAGGATCTAAACCTATTTCTCGCCCCGGGGGCTAATTAGGTAGACTATAATATTAGGCTTAGTTTTAATAGTATTAAGAAGGTAAGGGAGTACCTTTAGTATAAGTACTTTATTATAAGTCTTATTTCTTATAAAGCTTATTAATATTAGGTTAGCTTTATCCTTAATACTATTAAGAAGAACTAGGTATCTATAGATATACTATAGGGTAAGAGAGAGCCTTATTTCCGCTAAGAGTGCGCTATTACCCGGGAGATATATATAACGCTAGGGCTATTATATAATTATAATATATTTAGCCTTCCTATAATAATATAGCCTTTTAGCTAAGAGTATAGTCCCTTAGTATACTAGATACTTACGAGCTTAATATATAACCTAGTTAGTATCCCTAGGAAAGACCTTAGAGATATTATCCCCTTTAAGACTATTAAGGTAGATAATATTAATATAACCCTAATAAATATTATTAGCTTTTATTACTAAGATTAATTATTTATACCCTAGAGAGACCTAACTAAGCACTAATAATATATAATTAAGTCCTATAGCTATCTTACTATAATATAATCTTATATATTATTAAATAAGCTTAATATCTCGGGGGGTAAATATATAGAGATATAAGATAATAATATAGAAATAGATATAAAGTTAGCGCATAATAATCTCATTAATATATATACCTTATATATATTAGTTAGTCTCTTTAAGCATAAATACTTCGCCATATACTAAGGCAATATATAATTTATTAAGGCTAATTATATTAATATAATAATAAATTTTAATAATTTCTATATTTTCCTAGCCCCTAACCTTAATACTATATTTCTTATCTATAAGATAACCTATCTATCCCCTAACTTAATACTACTATATTAGCTCTTACCTCGCCTAAGCTAATTATATATTAACCGGGGTTTATAGGTAGAGTATAATACCCCTAAGAAGCCTTTATCTAGGCTAATAGATATAATTATATTAGATTTAATTATAGATAATAAATAAGCTATAGCGAGAGGGGGTTAGGGAAGGCTAGCTAGGCTAAAGGAGAAAGTCTTATAGGGACCGAGTAAGTAAAAGAGGAAAAATATATTAAGATAAATAATAAAGTATAGTAAATAAAATATATATAAGCCTTATATCTTATCTCTCTATATAAATTACTTATAGTAATATAGTCTTATATGCCTTAGTAATATTATATATAATAACTTTAAGAATAAAAGGTATTTTAGCTTAGTAATTAAAGTAATCTCTCTAACTAAGGGATAGACCTAGGTTTAATTCTTAGAAGTATCTTATTAGTATTTAAAGGTATTTTTCTAAAATCTTAAGTATATTATTTTTACTTATTAAAAAGTCCTTATTTCTATTTTATTTACTTTTTCCCTTCTTATTTAATATAATATCTTTTCCTTAATTTTAAAGTAGATATAATATAATTAAATTAAGTTAATTTAAGCCTATTTAATCTTCTCCCTTAGCTAAGCCTAGAGCTAAAAATACTTATCTCTTATATTACCCGCTATGGGAACTTAGCTAAGATACCTTTCCTCCTAAATTATCTTACCTATATAATTATTATACTAGCTTAATATATAGGTAAAGGTAATAAAGATAATACTTAGATATTAGTATTAGGTATTTATCCTTTACTACTAATTATTATCTAAGTCTTTTTCTTAGTAGCGATAAAACTCTTATAGTAATATATACTAGAAGTAAGCCCTAAAATCTTTAATTTTCTTTCTTTACTATAAGAACTTCTTTAAGGATAGGGCCTATAGGTAACTCTATAGAAGCTTATATTTAATATAGCTAGATATAATAATATATTTCTTTAGGTTATAATTAGATAGCCTAGTATTAAATAGCTAGTAATAGATATATCTTTTAAGTTATTACCTTTAGAGATATTACTTAAAGCTATTAAATTTTACCTATTAATCCCTAGCCTAAGTAGTGATTTTATCGCGAGTAGACTATATTACTATTTATTATAGCTAGAGATCCTTATCTTACTTATCTTCCCTATAGAATTAGCCCTTAGGCTTATATTAAGGCAGATAAGTAAGGTAATAATTATATCTCTTTTTTATATATTTATAGGAGGATTAGTCTTATTACCCGTTAAGTATTATATTAAGCGCGATATAGTAGTATTAATTAATAAAAAAAAAAGCCTAGCTAGCTAAGTTAATAAATTAATTAAATCTCTAGTTAATAAGCTTATATTGAGTTATAATAATAATTACCTCGCTTAATAAGCTATCTCGGTTGGCTTACCTATTCTATTAGCTATAATCTATAATCCTCTAAGGTATCTCGAGGTAAATAATAACCTTAATATTAGGGATATTAATACCTAGGCTAAGAATATTAATTATTATAATAACCTAGCTATGCTAATATAAGTCGCGTTTATTACCTTATATTTATTCCCTTAGTTATTATGCCTTATTATTAGTAATATAAGGATTATTATAATATATATTATATCCTAGGTCTCTTATAAGCCCCTCTATTATATTCCTACTTATATAATATATAATAGCCTTAGCTAAGCTAATATATATACTAAGCTTCTAATTAATTAGCGCCCTTATAATACTTATAATTAAGTCTTATTTATTATTATTATTATATATATTAATATTAATAATATTATATCTAATATTAGGCTAGCTTATAGGATTATAAAAGACTATAGCGTCTTTTTAATTATAATTAATAAGATAAAAGAAAGGAGGCTTATCGGCGATAACTAATATTACTATTAAGTAGATTATCTATATACCGCGCTAGGCTAAGAGACTAAGCTTATATAGCTTTAGCTAGAACTTTAAGTTACCCTCGAGGATAATATAGTATTTATTAATAATAATATGGTCTAATTAGGCCTAAGATTAGAGTATATTAAGGTATATTAAGAAATACTTAATAAGTATAGTCTCTAAGGTTATAAAGATAATCCTAATATTTCTAACTATCTAATTAGATTACTATTAAGCCGCTATAATATTTATTTCCCTTATATAATTATATAGGTTACCCTATAGAGATATAAATAATATAATAATAATTATAACCTTGCCTAGGTAACTCGCCGCTAATAGCTAAAAGAGTAGACTCTTATTACTATTAGTAGGTATAATAGCGATAATTAGGCTCTTATTTTATATAATCGCCTATATAATTAGGTCTTACTTAGTGCGGAAGGTAATATTATTACCTAATAATATCTTAAGCTTAAGAGCTAAATTAACCCTATAAAGCTATTTTTAATAAATAACTTAGAGCTCTTAGAATTATTCAATATAAATATAGGCTCTTAATTATTTAGAATTAGATAATATAGCTAGCGATAAGATATAAAATATAAAAGGGAAACTAAGTAGGTAATACTATTATTAGCTAAGCTATTAGAAGCTCTCACGGCGCTAATAAGTCTTAAAGTTAGCTTCTTAGAGACCCCTACTATATATTATACTAGATATCTAAGCTATATAGCTAGTCTACTTATTTATAATAATATCCTTCTTATTAATATTATCCTAATTAGATATTTTATTATTATTATTATTATTATTAATCTTATTATAAAAGCCTTAGCTTATAATAGATATATCTTAGATAAAGCGATAGCTAATTACTATAGCGATATACCTTTATAAACTAATATTAAGTATCTTAACCCTAATAATTATACCTTATTATTAAAGTATTTAAGATATTTAGGCTAGAATAAAATTCCTAGGTAATAGGCTAATAATTTACGGCGAATTATTTATTACCTATAAGCGGGCTTACTATTTTTCTATATACTAAGGGTACCTAAGTTCTAATCTAAGACCTTAGAGTATTTAATTAATTACCTTATATATATATAATCTATTAGGGTTATCTATTTTAGCTAAACCCTTAATCT